CAGTCTACAGAGGCCAACTCTGGATTCCTGGTGAGCTGAACTCCTGGCTTTGAAACACTATTTCTGAGAGCTCTGCTGAGCTTCTCAATTCTGCTCAGCCCAGGCTGAAGACTGCTTTCTAGATACCACTGTACTCCTGGATCAAGTGATGTACAGGACTGTAGATCAAATAACCAAATAGGAGGTGTTCAGAGGTGACAGTGCGGCCTGGTGGTACTCAGCAAGAGACTGGAAGAGAAGTGGGGGATGGTGTGAGGGAGGAAAGCTGCTCAGTCTATCTTGATACACTTCCAACAAAGAGACTGTGACATGGAATTTCCTGGTGGTCCAGTGGTTAGGACTCTGCATTCTCACTGCCAAGGGCCTGGGTTCAACCCCAGGGAACTAAGATCCCACAAGCTGCATGGCACAGCCACAAAAGAAAAAAAAAAAAAAGACTGTGACAAGTAGGTGTGTGTGGGTCCCTGATGCACATAAGAGCAGCAGCAGTACTCTAAGTTTACACCAGAGTCACGACCACCATAAGAAGCTTTTCCTGATGCAGAGAGAAGCAGAAAATATAGGACATGCCACTGTACACGACAAGACGCTAACAGTTGGCAATGCTCATTCACTCAACTCAAGAAATGTTTACCCATTACCTACATACTCCGAAGGAAAAGATGGCTTGAGGGAATCTGCAGGACACACAGACACACACACCTGGACCTTTGTTAACCTAGCTGATGGCTCCCACGCCTCCCAGCTATCTAGGCCAGAGACATGAGAAACTTGATGAGAACAGACACCTGAAAGCCTTCCAAAAGCAGGGCAAGGAGAGCATGCTCACTGCTCTTCGTAGTGTCTGGCTCTCTCTCCTGGGATGGACCCCCAGGAAAAGTTCCCATGCAGTGATGTCCCCCTGTTCAGAATTAAAGAGTAAAATCCAAACTCCTCACAGTGGCCACAGATCTAACTCCCACCAGCTCCTCACTCAGCCCACTCCAGCTTCCTTGGGCTTGTTGCTTCTGCTGCCCTCTGCCCATCAGCTAGGTCTATACTCAAAATTACCTCCTTAGGGACTTGCCTGATGATCCAGTGGCTAAGACTCTGTGCTTCCAATGCAGGGTGGCTGGTCAGGGAACTAGATCCCACAGGCCACAACTAAGAGTGTGCATGCCACAACCAAAGATCCTGCATGCTGCAACCAAGATGCGGTACAGCCAAATAAATAAATAAAAATACTTTTTTTTAAAAAAACACCAAAGTTACCTCCTCAGAGCTCACTATAGTTATGACCCAGGCATTCTCCATCTCACTGCTCTCTTTTACCCTGCATCTCTTTTCACCATCCTGTTTTATTCACATGTGTACTTGTTTACCATCTGGCTCTCCCACTAGAACATGGATTTCATGCATCTTGGTGATCTTGTTCTTGGCTCAGTCCCCAGCATCTACAACAGTGCCTGGCAAATAGTAGATGCTCAATAAGCCATTCAATTTAAGAAATGTTTATTGAGTGCCTACAAACTTTAACAGTAGACCAAAAAAAGACAAAAATCTCTGCCCTAAAAGAGCTTAAATTCTGAAGGGAGATAAGAAGTAGATAAATAAATAATGGTGAAATAACAGCTACTGCTTCAACCAAGCCCTTACCAAGGGGCTCAGTGTAGTTCTAAGGCTCTAATAGGTATTACTTAATTTAATCTTCCCAACAACTCCATGAAGGAAGTATTAATATTTTGTCAATGGGGAAACTGAGGCACAGAGCAGTTAAGTTACTTGCTGAAGGTCATGAAGCTCATGATGGCAGAACCAAGATCCAAACCCAGGTTTAGTCCTGTGTTTGGACTAGTCCTGTGTTTAGACCTCGGGCTCTGACTGAGAGCTCTGCTTCATATTTGCTGGATGTCGAATAACTAGTTGCTCAGCACCCTTAGCAGCTGTTCCCTGTAGGCAGGGCTGGAGTGAGAGCCGACCCGTCAAGGAAGGGCTGTCCTGCTCTGTGAGCGTGGTGACATGGAGACTGCTGGGCTGACCCCCGTGTTAGACTCTGGATGAAGAGGAAACTGATGAAAGGACATGGACAGGGCTTCCCTGGTGACTCAGTGGTAAAGAATCCACCTGATGATGCAGGAGACCCAGGTTCAATCCCTGATCCAGGAAGGTCCCACCTGCCGCAGAGCAACAAAGCCCGTATGCCCCTACTATTGAGGCTGTGCTCTAGACCTGTGCCCTGCAACATGAAAAGCCACTGGAATAGAAGCCTAAGCACCACAGCTAGACAGTAGCCCCGCTCACTGCAACTAGAGAAAAAGCCAGAGAAGCAATGAAGACTTAGCACAGCCATAAATAAATAAACACATTTTTCTTTTTAAATTAAAAAAAAATAGATAAGGTCAGCATTCCTGGGCTCTAGTTTCAGGTGCTGTGAAACACCTAGGCAGGTCAACCAGTACTTGATGAGTATACTTTGGGGGCAGGATCTAGACACTGTGAGAGATGGAAAGCTGAATCCAATAGAAACCCTGGCCTCAGAAAACTTAGGGTTATGCACCTGCACATGAAGCTGAAAGAGAGGTAGAAAGTAACAGGTGTCATTAGCAAATGTATAGACTGGTATGGGATTTCAAAAGAGTTACTCAGGGGACTAGGTCCAGAGGCTAAAACTCCACGCTCCCAATGCAGAGGGTCCGGGTTCAACCCCTGGTCAGGAACTAGTTCCCACATGGTGCAACTAAGAGGTCTCATGCTTCAACTAAGAATTCGCATGCTGCAACTAAAGATTCCCACGTGCAGCAAAGAAGATCCAAGATCCTGACTGCCACAACAAAGACCTGGCACAGCTAAACAAATAATTTTAAACAATAAATATTAAAAACAACAACAACAGTGACTCACTCAGTCTCTGGGGGCTAGGGGTGCCCAAGCTTAAGAGGGGCCTGGCCTACATAACCCTCATGGTCCTCTAGCTCGGAACCTGTTCTGACAGCACAGATTTGGAGCGGCATGGAGACCCAAGTTTTATTCCGATTAATGGTTCAAGCTCATGGCCACTGAGCAGTTCTCCCACCCACCTCGAGATCAGTCGCAACCTCTTTGGGAACATCGTACAGCAGTGGGAGGGCAATCATGCTCTCATTTAAATAATGCAGCCGGATGTGGGAATGAAGTCCAATGCGTGCTGCCCTCCTCCTCCTCAAAATGGTTTTTAAGCCCACAAACCCTCTTCCCTTCAGGAAGGGGTGATCCATCTGTGAGCACCTTGTGAGAACGTGGAGACCTAGTCACCCTGTTCATGTCAGGATCTCTAGAGTCTAGAACAGCATCTGGCTCACAACAGGTGTTAAGTAGGGTTTGCTGAGCTAAACCAGAGCATAGCCAGGTCTAGAAATTCTCTGCCAGACACCTAAGTCTCAGTCGGTGTCCCCTGAAGTTTCCCTCTCAGTCTCTCCCTGGGGGATCAGACTGGTTTCATCTCTTCTGCTACCACTACCCTGGTTCAAGCCACCGTCATCTTTTGCCCAGCAGTTACAATGGCCAGTCTCCCAACTAGCATCCTTGCCTCTACCTGCCAGGTTAGTCCCTGCTAACCTGACAGCAGGGACGGCTTAGACACGTTTGGCACACCAGAGAGGCAGACATGTGAGGTCTGAAAGAGGCTGGGTATCCAGACTTAAGTGTCTTGGTTACCAGGTGCAAGAAAAAGGAAGGTGGCTGGGGTGGGGATGATGGCAATCATCCCTGCTCCTTACAATGCAATCTCCATATGGAGGCCAGCATGATCTTTCAACACTTAGATTTTATCACCTCTCTGCTTAAGTCCTCAAATGATTTCTAACTGCACTTGGGGGAAAAAAAAAACCAAACTGGTTCTTCCCATCTTCACAGCACTTAACACTACTAAACTTACTTTGTCCGCCTATTTATTACCCCTTTCTCTTAAGAATGTCAGCTACAGGAGGGCAGGGGCTATGTCTCCAGACTCCAGTGCCTGGAATACCACATAGGAAGCTCTCATAACTGAATAGATTAATCTCCATCCCAGGGAGGCGACTTGTATATGCGAGGGCCACTCACTCCACCAGGAAACCATGAATGACACACTGGCACTTTATAATTCGAATTCCTGCTTTAAACCAGGGGAAACTTGGTCTCTCTGGACACTTTACTAGCCCAAGAGATCAGTATTACTTAGAGTCTAAAGCCAAGAACTAGAGTCCAGTAGTTGCAGCAGGGAGCTAAGAGTCAGAACCTAAGGACTAACTCTGACTTGCTTCCAGGTCCCTTAGCCACACACCCATGCCTCAATTTACCCAGCAGTCTGCCAGGCACACTTTCCTAAGTTGTGTGAGTGACAGGAGACAAAGTAATTAACAGTGCTAGCATACTTGATCCTCGGATAGGAGGTGACGCAAGCCTCACATCGCGTTATTTGTAAAACTCTTGATTTGCAGCCAACACAGGCCTCCTGGGCCTTCCCAGGGGCTAACCTGACAGCAGGGACTGTTCAGACACGTTCTGCACACCAGAGAGGCAGACATGTGGGGCCTAAAAGAGGCTGGGTATCCAGACCGAGGTGTCTTGGTTACCTGGTGCACCGGAAGGTGGCTGGGGTGGGGATGATGAGGAGAAGGCAAGAAGTGCTGTTTGGGGCTCCCCGTGGTCAATCTTGCAGGTTCACAGATACATGCCCGCCATACAGGCGAGACATGTGCCTACAACGTGCACCTTCCAGGAACACTCACGGGGCACACGACAGTTCAGCCAGACTAGAGTGAGGAAGAGCGACCCAGGGCCAGACCTTGGCAGCATTTAGTTTGGGGAAATACCGGGGGCTCTTTACAGAGGGTCAGTCAGGATGCTAGAGCGGGGTGCAGGTGAGGAAAGAGACAAGAACGCGCGGGACCTGAGGCTGATAGGCGGCGACAACCACGCCGACGCGGTGGGGTGAGCAAGAGTGGATGGCTCGGACACCTGTGGAGGCGACCCCCGGGGGAGGAGAGGTTGAGGACGGCTGGATGGCGGTCTGCCGCGGGATCGCGGGCGGGGGCGGCGAGCGGCAGGAGGCAGCGGCGGCCAGGCGGGGCAGGAAACCCGGCCCAGACCAGGGCTCCGTGCCGGTGGTCCGGCCGGTGGGTCCCAGCCGGGTCGGGGGCGCAGTCCACGGCCCCTCCCCGGGAGACAAAGGGCTGGCTGCTCCCAGAGCCGCGGAGCGGCGCGGGCCCGGGCGCTGCGGGTGCGGGCCGGCCTCGGCGCTTACCTGGGCCGCCCGACCCGGCCAGGCGGGCGGGGGCTGCGGGTCCGAGAGCGGCGCGCGGCGGCCTGTTCCGGGACGCGCACAGCCCGAGCAGCCGCGACGGCACCAGCGGCAGCGGCAGCAGCAGCAGCAGCAAGAGCGGCCGCCTCAGCCTCCGCCTCCCTCTCCGTGAGTCACCGCGGCGCGGAGGGAAGGAGGCGCCAGGCCGCCGGGGGAGGGACAGGCGGAGAGGGCGGCATCTGGCTCCGCGCGGGAGATGGAGGCGCGGTCACGGCAACGCCCCGCGGTGGAGGATGGCAGAAGGCCGGCGTAGGGGCGCGGTCTGACGATGTAATGGGCGTGTCCTGGAATTCTCAGTGGCTCTCATTGGTTAAGTGGGCCAATGGGGCGGAGCTCTCAGCTGAAAGGTAGGTGCTGCGGAGCTCTCGGGCAAGCTCATTGGGCCCTTTGGAAGTGGGCGGGGCAAGCGGCCCTGGGGCGGAGCCACGAGATGGGCGGGTGGAACCCGGTTGCGGGTAGGGCCTAGAGGCTCTCAGAGCAAAGGGGTGGAGCGGGTCGGGGGTTGGTAAGGGAGGAGGGGCGGGGGCTCCGAGGGGGAGGTGGCCTAAGGGCGGAGCCCGGGCTAGGATGGAGCGGGCGTTGCGGTAAAGCAGCTCTGCATGTCCCTAGCTGCTCCAGAAGCACAGTGATCCCGTAAAAATAATGGCCTCTCCCACACACGAGTCTGGGTTTAAAAATGGGAGCGGCCACACGAGGCGGAATCCTTAGCAAGACCCGTTTACTCAGGACCCCTGAAAAATCTGAAATGGACAAGGTTGCAAAACATTTAGAGGCGTGGTCTTCCTGGGTCTTGGAACTGGATATATTGCTACCTTTGAAGCAGTTGGGCCCACTCTTGAACTGGGGGCCTGTCTAACCTGGATCCACCGAACCCCGAGAGCCCAGGGATGGGGCCTCTGTGGATCTGTTAAACTTAGAATATCATACGTATTGATAGTGAATGCATTTGGGGAGGGGGTGGGTAGAGAAGGTTGCCCTTGGTTAAAATGTTGCTATAGAAAGTCTGACTCATCTGCTCTGGAGAGTATAAAGAGCCTCCTTTAGGCAAAATGCGAATTGCCCTGAACACCCAGCTTCCCTTTTAAAGGGACGCGTGTCTTCAAGTGTGGTCTCACTTTCAACATTTAACTTAACAATTGCATAAAAAAAAAAAAAGAAAGAAAGAAATAAACAATTGCATAGTGCGACACTAACAGTTTTAGAGGCCTTACTGTGCCTCTTTCTCCAGCCTTTCTGCTCCTTTTCTGTCCCATCCTCTTCCACTTCCCTCATTTTTCTTCCCCTTCCCTATGCAAGAAGGATACAAGATAATTTTTTTTCTGTTATATTCTCTAATGCCTATATTACTTTTGATTTAATAACTTTTTTTACTTACAATTGGGGAATATTTTAATTTTATCAAAATAATGAGATTATGAACTTTTAAAGGCCAGAAATAGGTCAACAGTGTCTGTATCTTCCTCAGCGTCCAGACTACCATGCCCATAACAAGAGCTCAACCAATATTTCTTTATACAGTTACTAGCTGATCCTTCAAGTTTCACAGAGCATACCAATATAACAAATTTACACATTCAAATTATTTTCATGTAAATATTGATGTTTAAACAAAACAAATTAAAAGTAAACAACTTGCTTGGTTATTCAAGACAATGTATAAATTCTATTTCAGGAAAAGGTACATGCTTAAGGATAAATGTGGGAAAGGAATGTATTTTTAAAATGTGTCACTGTGAAATAATGGAAGTTTTTTCAAAATTTTCATAAATATATTGTGTTTATTGTTCAAAATTACAGTAAGTTCATCAACATAGTCAGGCATTCATCCCATCAGCTCAGAGTTGGAAAACTGCATCTCCAGATAGCAGGATTACTTCAGGATTAACTCAGCCTCTCCCCATCTGTAGTCTTAGAACGAAACACTGAAGGCTTCGGAGGCAGGAAACATCTGCTAGCCCTGACAGCCCAGCCCTGTCTCTGCCCCTTGGGGAACTGCTCCTCGCCACCCTCTACCCACCAGAGGTGCTGACGAGATGACCATTTATAGCATCCTAGCCTTTCCCCTCTACAAAAAAAACAAACAGGGAGACATGAATTCAAGCTGGACCAGTCACGTGCTGTGTTCTCTGGACCACTGACTAAGAAGAGGATATGACCTGAGCTGAGCCAATTGGAGTCCTTCTCTGAAACTCCAGGTTGTTGTTTTTTTTTTTTTTGGCCACATAGCATGTGGGATCTTAGTTTCCTGACCAAGGATGGAACCCATGCCCCCTGCATTGGAAGTGCAGACTCTTAACCACTGGACCACCAGAGAAGTCCCTACAACATTTTAAATTAGAAATGAAGGGAAGCTCTTTCTCTCCTATTGGATCAAGAGCTGTAAGGATGTGACCTCAAAAATGTTTACCACCATCATCTGCTCATCTCGTGGAAAATTCTGAAAGAATGAGGCAGTGTAATTGGACAGACAAAGGGACCAAGATTTGGAGGGAAGGAAAGTGAAAAGGAGAGAAACCATCATGGTATGTTCCATGGTTTCAGTAGACCTTGTACCAATTCTGAACACACCATCCCACACTTAAGAGGTCCCCAAATAGGCCTTTCCTCCATCAATAGCTGGCCCCACTCCACTGGAGTTGCTTATACCAGAAACTTAAGTGTATCCTCCACACCACAGTCTCCCTTTCCCCTCACACTCAGTCCATGTTGTTTCCACCCCCAGATCACATCTTGACTCTCCCCAATTCCCACCATCTCCATTACTCTGCTCCAGCGTAACCCATCATCAGGTCTCACCTAACTCCAGCACTAACTTCCAAGTGCTAGTTCAGACTTCCCCTACCATCCTCTATCCATTGCCCACACAGCAACTAGAGGGATCTTCTTAAAATGCACTGATCTTGTCACATCTCCACTAGTCAATGAGTTCTCTTTGTTTTCCTGATGAAATTCAGAATCTTTAGCATGGCTACCAGGCCATGCATGACCTGGCTCCAACCTGACCTTGTTCCACCTTTGCCAGCTGGGCTTCTGCCACACACAGGCCTTCTCCCTATTGCTTGATCACAGAGTACTTCCTTCTGCTTTGGTACATCTGAGTGTACAGCTCCCTTTGCATCAATGGCTTTTCCCCACTTCTCTCCCCTTCACCTGACAAAATATTTGGTTTTCTTTGGTCATTTTCAAGGAGACCTTTTCTATTGAAGTATAGCTGATTTACAATGCTATGTTAGTTTCTAGTGTACAGCACAGTGATACACTTATATACATGTGTGTATATATATATATATACACACACACATACTTTTTGCTTTTTTTTTACTGCTGAAAAAAAAAAAGGGAAAATATGTATATGGATATACTTTGGCCACCTGATGCAAAGAGCTGACTCACTGGAAAAGACAATGATGCTGCGAAAGAGTGATGGCAAAAGGAGTAGAGGGCAGCAGAGGATGAAATGGTTAGATAGCATCACTGACTCACTGGACGTGAATTTGAAGAAATTCTGAAAGACAGTGAAGGAGAAGCCTGGCATACTGCCATCCATGGGGTTGCAGTCGGGTACAACTTAGCGACTGAACAACAACACATATTTTTCATGTTCTTTTCCATTATGGTTTATTGCAGGATACTGAATATAGTTCCCCGTGCTATAGAGTAGGACCTTGTTGTTTATCTATTTCATATATAGTAGTTTGTATCTGCTAATCCCAAACTAAAGGAAACTTTTCTTGACCTATACTAGGCCAGCCCCAGTCCCAACAGGGTCATAAATTCCAGGAGGATAAGGAAGTCACTGTGAATCACTCTTACCTAGCACAGCATGTGTAGATGCTCAACAAATATTATTGCATGAGTAAATAAACATGTAAAGACTGCACCCAGGACTTTCCCTTCACTGACAGCCACTCCTATTTCCCCATCTCCATCTGAGACTCCAGTGCTCCCAACCCTCTTCTCACTCTTCACTCAGTACATTTATGAGTCTATAGTTTCTTTTTTCAACTTTCAGGAAAGTCTCTCTGCATTCCTCGACATATATGTATCTTTTTTATGGTATATTAATTAATTAATCTATTTGTTTTTGGCTGCACTTGGTCTTCGTTGCTGTTTGTGGGCATTCTCTTGCTGCAGTGGGCAAGAGCTATTCTCTAGTTGTGATGCATAGGCTCATTTATGTGATTTCTCCTGTTTCAGAACATGGGTTCCAGAGCTTGAGCTCAGGAGTTGTGGTGCGTGGGCTTAGCTGCCCTATAGCATGTGGAGTATTTCTGGATCAGGGATCAAATCCATGTCGCCTGCATTGGCAGATGGATTCTTAACCACTGGACCACCAGGGGAGTCCTATGTGTATCTTTAAACAGTTGCTTTCTGGAGGAAAAAGTCTGTCCTCTATGAAAGTCAAAGTGTAGTCACTCAGGCATGTCTGACTCTTTGCGACCTCATGGACTGTAACCTGCCAGGCTCCTCTGTCCATGGAATTATCCAGGGAAGAATCCTGGAGCAGGTTGCCATTTCCTCCTCTGGGGGATGTTCCCCCAACCCTTGGATCGAACCCAGGTCTCCTTCATTGCAGGTGGGTTCTTACCGTCTGAGCCACCAGGGCAGCCGACACGCTTTGTATTGCCCCTTCGATGCCAAAGGGGCGACTCTAACAGTAAAATTTTCAGGCCAAGTAGGAAACAACAGTGGAGCATCAACAGGATACAGGGGAAGAAAACAGTTTTGAAGTAGTTATGGCAACAGTGATCCTCAAATTATACCCCATAAGGGGGCCTCCTGCCTACAGGTTGAGCAGGTACAAGGTAAGAATTTGAGAGAAAAGAAGACTTTGTATTGAATAAAGAAGAGATTTTTTAGTAAAGGAAAAATAAGAACCAACTCGTTGTGTTTTGAAAACCAAATTTTAAACACTAATAATTTCCAATGATACAGAAAGTTTGTCATTCTGTTTACATGTAACACAACTCTAACTTCTCTGAGGACAGAGAGTGACCAAGGCTAAGCGCACAGCGCAGACAAAGCATGCCACAGCTGCGCATCACTCTCCTTTTTGCCTTGGCAAGTAACGTGTCATCTAATTTTACTTTGGAGATAATAAGGAATTATTAAAGGCCATGATGAAAGCATTTTGTATATCAGGGGATATACATATTTTGTGTCATGAGTTGGGTATGTGCAGCTGGGAACATCTGGCTCACTGCCAACCTATCCCCAGAGTGTTGGTTCCTGCAGCATCTGATACCTACAGTACAGGTTTCCCACATCACTGGACCTTGCTTGTACTGTGCTTGGGAACAATGTAAAGAAATGTATTTCTTTACATTCATTTCTTTGGCTGAATGTTTTGACAGACCAACATGTCTTGTGAAAGTATTTTGTCTGTGTAACCTCAAAGGTTCTAATCACCTAGTAAAGACAAACCAACATAAGTCCTCAGTTTGGATCCAAATATTCAGCCTATTAGCCTTGGATCCTGGGATCCAAGAATATTGACTCTTCTCCCAGTTCATTTATCACCTTTTATTCCCCTTGCTGGTTACTGTCCAAGTAAGTATAAAAAATTAACAACCCTAAAATCAAAGAGTCTCTTCTCTTTGGGAATAAATGACAAAACAGCTATCTTTCCCCCCAGCACAAATCAGTGAATTTCATATCTGTAGATGTTGCAATGTTTTGTTTTGTTTTGTTTTTAGATGTTGCAACATTATCAGTATATTTAGGTGTGACTTAAAAGATCGTCCCTGACAAGCAATTCTTTCCTCACCTTTTGGACCACCAGCTTATTGTTGCTAACAAGTAGTGGGGCCTGTTATTATCAAATATTTGTTAGCTCTGCTCTTGCCCTTCACTGTTCTGAGAGTAGAAATTTTCAAACCTACCTGAGAGTATAAACCCTCCTGTTACATACTCATATGTTTAGCTATTTGCTATTTGTCAGACTGAGGTCAGAATTTGCAGTGATGTGACACTTAGATTTTGCATTTGGGTCCAGGAGAGGTTGCTCAATCTAAATGAACTTTGTGGTTTTCTTTTCTCCACACACCGCTCCCCTCACTTTCTTCATAACTGTTCTTCTGGGAAATTACTTCCCATCAGCAGTATTTGCCTCCAGCTGGTGAAGTGGATGGGGCTTTTTTTTTTTAGCTAATAAACACTAAAAGGCTGAGGGCAGCAAATCTACACCCTGGTAGTGCCAGCTAATGAAGAGCCTCACATGAAAGCTTATGCAAAGGGGACAGGCAGAGTGCAAATGTCCTGGGATCCAAGATTATCCACTCTTCTCCCACATGCTGCATAACAGATACTAATGATTATTAATTATTTAAGCAAAGAACATGAGAGCCAACACAGGCGGCAAAAGGGAAAAGGAGGAAGCTGCCTTCTAGGAGCTTCTGCTGAAATAATTTTAATTAGCACAGGCTATAGAGCCAAGGGAGATAGACCAAGATACTTAATAGCTAAAGAAATCTTTAAAAATCCTCTACCACTTTTTTCCCTTACAAAAAGGAAAAGACAACTTAGGTTATACTTGTATACATTGCTGATAAACTGGAATATGAAGTGGCTGCCACAGCCTGTCCTCTCTGATGGCATCGCAGGCCAGCAAGTGACATGAGGAGGCTCAGCCAGGTCTTCACAGGTTCTAGTGAATCCTGAAGCTGTGAGTCCCAAGTCTCCCCTCGAAATACATCTTTCTTGCTCATACACACTAAGGACACTGACTGTCTAAAGCTGAAGCTCCATCCATCTTTTCTCTGTACTGAAACCTTCATGAGGTTTTCACTTTAAATTTCAAACATTGTTGGGACCTTACTGGTGGTCCAATGGTTAAGACACTGTGCTTCCACTGCAGGGTGCATGGGTTCGATCCCTGGTTAGGGAATTAAGATCCTGCATGCCACCAAGCACAACTCAAAAATAGAAAAATAAAAATTTTTTTCCCCAAATATTGTGTCATTTTCTGGTAGGTTTTACTTTTTCTTTGGATATATCAGGATACCTAGAACAGTTTCTTCCTATTATATAAGCTGTGACACTATTTTAAAAAGTTAAGAGCCCTAAAAGGCACAGTTTGATCTTATTTTTAAATTTTTGGGTGATCTCCATTTGTTTGAAACTCATTGGTAGTTCTGCAGTGCAGCCTTTCCAAATTGTCAATTCCCTGGCAGCTAGTGACATTTCCTCTTAAAATCAAGAGTTTTTATTTCTAATTCAATAACATTTAGAGATCTAATGCTCATTATTACTGTAGCTAACCTGGCTCTGTGACTAAGGAGAGACTGTGTTTTCCTTGCAGGTGTCTTTTTCTGACCTTGTTCCAATATTCACATTACCTTCCACTAGGTTCCCACAGGACGTTTCATTTGAACTGTTTCAGAACTTCATCAACATTTCACCTGTGAGCTATTATGTATCCCCTGACTTTTGTTCAAGTCTAGTCTCTTTAGCCAATTACAGGTCACTGTTCAAAGCAGGGGATAAAGCAGTAAATCAGACACATGTTGTCCTTGCCTTCATGATGTGCGAGACATACAATGAATTACACACTTCAATAATTCATTGCAAGTATAGTTAAGTGCTAAAAGCTGAAATTCAAAGGGCTCTGAGGCCATATAATTGGGAACCAGTGGCTTGGGGGTAAAGAATCCACCAGCCAATTCAGGAGACGTGGGTTCAATTCCTGCGTCAGGAAGATCCCCTGGAGAAGGAAATGGCAACCCACTTCCAGTATTCTTGCTGGGAAATCCCATGGACAGAGGAGCCTGGTGGGCTACAGTCCATGGGGTTGCAAAGAGTCGGACATGACTTAGCCACTAAACCACAACAACCACCTTGTATTAGGGTCAGGGAGACCTTCCTTTGGAAAATAACATTTAAGCTTACACTTGAGGTATAAGGAGTTAACTAAGCAAAGAGTAAAAGGATAGCACCCAGTGGGACCAGCCCATAACAAGGTCATCAGAAAGAGAGGGTGGTGAGATTAAATTACTGAGAGAGAAGGCTGGTGACTAGAGTGCAGAGTGACGGGGAATGAGGTCAGGCCCCTGTCATGCAGGAATTTATAGGTCATGCTAAACATTTAGAATTCATTTCCCAAAGGTTTAAACAATGATGTGACATGGTTTGATTTGTATTTAAATAGATAGCTATGGTTTCTGCAAGGAGAATGGACTAAAGGGGAATAAGAATGACATATTAGTGAGTGAGTGCTGCATAAAAACCCACCTCGAAACTCCGTGACTTAGCAAGCATTTGTGGCTTTTGTTCGGGGGTCAGCAAATTGCCTGGTGTGGGTGTGTTTCAGGCTGTGGGTTCATTGTGACTCTGCTGGGTGAGGCTGAAATCAACAGGGTTTAGCTGCAGACTGGGATTAAGTCTGCTCTATATCTGCTTATTCTCTGTGAACCAGAGGCCACACAGGGCACTTTCCACTCACGATGAACAGTAGAAGAGCAAGGGCCCCAAGCCAAACTGTGTAAGCATGCTGAAGACATCTCCATGAACATCCCATTTGTCAAATTCAGTCTAATGGCTAGACCCAAA